AATTCAGAAGGGACGGGCCGAAGGCCCGTCCCAAACGCCGCCGGCAGGCCAAGCTGGGCCCGCTCCCTGCCGAACCGAGTTGCCGGTGGAGCGAAGCGGAGCTGGCAACTTGGTTTGGCGGAAGAGCGGGCCCAGCTTGTTACATAACTATCTGTCAAATTTAAAACTTTTAACGAATATCTTCATCGCAAATCTTCCTGTTCCCTAATAAGGCATTCCGGTAATGCTGAAGAATGCGGAAAAAAATAAAACGGAACTCGCTTTACGTTAACATGGTGACTTCCGTTTTCTTGTTCCTCACATTTTTCTGCATTTCAGTGTTACCGGAATGCTTTATTGTAAAGTAGTAAGTCCCCGACAAATGCTGTTAGCATGGCAAATTTGGGGGCCGAAATGCCCTATTTTGGTAAACACTCTTATTAACTCGTGTCGTTTGTCAGCGCCGCAGGGCTGGGTGTGTGTGCGCCAGGCGCGTCGCATCGTAACAGTGTTTCGTGAGCTTACGCGAATAAGCTTGTTACGCGAGACGTGGTCTGGGGTACATATAGCTAGTACTACTTTGGACACAAAGAGTGTATGCGTCTACAGTTTACCAAATTTATAAATCGATACCTTACACTACTAGCTATATGTACGCCAGACGACGTGTCGCGCAACAGGCTGCGCGATATCTCACGGAACATTGTAAGAGAGGGTGGGGCAGTGTGTAACAGATTTTGGAATTTGGCTACAAGAGTCAATCGGGCGCAAAATAATAGATTGTACCTTTACCAATTATGAAAATAAAGCATTCCGGTAAAGCTGAAATGCAGAAGAATGCGGGGAAGAAGAAAACGGAAATCGCTATGCTTTAACATGGTGAGTTCCGTTTTCTTCTTCCCCGTATTCTTCTTCGTTTTAGCTTTACCGAAATGCTTCATTGTTCGGATGTATTACTAGGCACATTCTCGTATGACCTACAGCTTGTTAAACAAAGGTCTGCATTTCTGACACTCTGCCCCAAGCCAGGGCAGTGTGTAACAAATGCTAGGATTGAGCTCGGACACTATTCTACCAGTGCACAAAAACGAATTTCTGGTTTGGCTCTTAGTTCTCTCTTCTGCTAATCGAGAGTTAAAGCTAGCTGACACCAACTTATGTAGATTCTTTATATTTAGTGAAAATATTCAAGGTCTCATCTGCTAAGAATCCACAGTTTTTTGACTGTAAACCCCACTTAAAAAGCAACAGAAAGGGATAAGTAAATCTATAAACTCGCACATGGCTCGTTTGCTGAGATTTACCATAGACGATGTCTCAGCTGGACGTTCTAGATGTTCTTCTTTGTACGGGAAGTAAAGTTGAAAATGTGTTTCAGGCAAGTCTGTGTTATAGCACCCGCCAACGCAATCACTGTTGTGGAGGTTCACTTATCTCGAATCAATGGGTTCTGACTGCGGCGCACTGCGTTAAAGGGTTTGTGTTTCTTACTGACAGACAAGTTTTTTTGTCGGAACTGAAGACAATATTGCACAGCCTTGCGACTCCCAAGGCAATTTCCTAGATGTGTTGGTAACTTTTACGAGACAGTCGTTTCGTGGCTTATGCGTAGGGGCGAGCCCCTGGAGGAAGAAAAGTGCCACGTGCAGATAGTCTTTGCATAGCTTAAAGTACCACTTAAAAAAACAACCAAAAAAACCTTTTTGTCATGCCAGATTATTGATCCATCTTATTCACTATGGTAAGGAAACTAACCAGTTTTCCCCTGACCTGAAAAAAATTGTGATTATCAGACTAACTATGTGCACTAAATTATTCCTGCCGTCAGCCCTCTATACGTGCAGACACAGAAGCTAATTTCCACGGTGAGTGTATTTTTAGTGCACGCCGAAAATTTTGCTACCTTTAGGCCGTTCTTTAGTTACCGTGTGGACAGACGGCCAGGCAAATGGGCAAACAGAAAAAGGGTTTTATTTTTCAAACACTGTAGTACTACCATTCGCGTTGTCTCGGGTTGAGAGGAGTATGGTTTTCCACGGTCCCTAATATCTAAACCCTTTTTGTTGTTTCCACGTTCAGGAGAAACTCAGTTAATGTAAAACTGGGCAGCAATAGGTTGGACATCAAAGAACCAGGACAAATTGCGGTAAGTAGCTAGGTTCTATTTTTTATTGTTTTATAATAGAAGGTAATACGCCTGACCAAGCCGCCCGTTACCGGCCTTGCTATAGTTTTTGACGCACTGTTGTTCCGTTGCGACGTCCGCCGTGGGCCTCTACGTTGGCCTGCAGCACTGACACCCAAATATGGGTGGCCTCAAAAAATGTTGTAACTACCGTCAAGGCAAATGTTGGTCGAAATGAAGATGTAGATAAAAAAGGAGTTTCTTTTCTTTGCCTGAGAAACCATTCTAAGTAACAGAGCAAACCCATTACGCCAAGGGGAGGCTACAGTGAAAACGTGTTTTGATGCATTATGGTGTCTCTGTGATGGGCCGGTGGGTATTGTAGGGGGCATTGATTTTTTTTCAGAAGGACTCAAAGCTAAAAAGAAAAACATTGTCTGAAGTCTGTATCTTTAACCATTCAAAATTATAAGAGCTGCAGTT